AGCTACGGGCATCTTCATCCTAACCCATAACTGCCAACATGCAGACCTGAATGCCAATCTTCAGTATATATTGGTGGTCGGCCAGCCGTGAAAATGCAAGTTGTGACTTCTGCGAAGTTCGCGGGGCAGGTCCTTACTAGGCGACTACCCCCTTCTTGCGAACTTACCCCACCACTGCGTGGGATTTACAGAAGGGAGGGGGAAGGCCAGTTTCCATACCCCGCCCAAGAAAAAAGTTGGAATGAGCCCTATTTTATGCTTTGCCATTTGGAAACTTCTGGTGGTAGGGCTTGCGGAAATTGAAATTCGGCAGCCCTTGGCCAAAATAAGGTTGGGTTGGGGCCGTGGCCGGTTTGCGAGCTCGCGCGGTGCATTTAACATTTTTGCCGAGTTGGGGATCCGAAGGAATGATAAACCTCTACCTTTTTTTTTTTTTTTTTTTTTGGACCTAATTTTTACAGTGTGGTGCGCTTGGGTGCGCAATGCGTGCGCAAATCCACGCACCGATGCGCGCCGCAACTATGGTTTGTAGACTTGGTTGACGAAAAATAAATAAATAAATATGATATATATATATTTTTTAAATTTAGTCGGTGAAATAAATGCCGCGCCGATTTGTCTCATTCTTGATTTTTTGCCACTCTGCTACTTGTGGGCCAACGGGAAAGGTACCCCAATTTCAGCGATTTTCATGCTCAGAAGAAGTCACAACAGAATCTGAAAACTGGAGGATCTGTAGATTTGGTCGTGATCTTTTCGGAAAAAATATTTTAATAATTAAAAAACATTGTTTAACCACGAAATAAGTGGTGCTGGCAACTTGTCGGACTTGTTGGATTTTTCATTTTTGGGCCTCTGCCGGGTCTCCACACTATGCTACCGGTAGCCCTCATGAACATGTGCTACCGATCCCCCGACTTTCACAACGCCGGGTAGAGTGGTGGTTTAAACCAGCACTACCCCCTCATGATCCATGCAAACATAGAATACTCATCCATGGCTGTCGGTAGCACAACAGTCTGTACTACCTCACCATGTAGAGACCTAAAACCCGTTGACTTCGCTCTGGTCTACACCGACTGTCAGCAGTTCACACGTACTACCGGCTTCTGAAGGACACCTGTTGGGCAGCCAACAGTCAGTTAAGGACCAACATCACAGTCTTCAAGAATGATTTAACGTCACAAACAGGACCATGTGGCTCGGCGGTGTTAGCACTCCCCCTCAACACTTAGGGCATACTCACACTAGCACGTACTTCTGCAAATTTTACGTATGTGAATTTGCGTTTATATGGCACCTGCAGGTCACACTGCTCACCCGTTTTTCGCCCAAATCAGAAAGGACAGGGTCGCGACCTGGACTTGCGAAAATACGTTGTGTGCAGTCAGACAACACAATGCAGTTTAATTTTTTTTTTTTTTTGCTTCCTGAAAGCAGTAGAGGAAAAAGAAATACGATTTTGCGGGGACCTCTAGAGGTCCCTGCAAAATATGTAAGCCTGCGGCTGTCCAGGCCGCTGACATTTACGTGCCCTTTTGTGTGAACACGCAAAATACGTGCCTCTTGTGACCCGAAAAACTACATAAAATTTGCGATTTTGCGAAAATACGTGGTAGTGTGAGTGTGCCCTTAGACTGGTCAACACTTGTGCTAACGCAGTTCTGCGCAAGTTGGTCAGTACCAGTCCTAGGGCTAGATAGGTGGTTTAATGGGCTCGGTGGGGTCAACACTCCCCCTCAACACTTGGACTGGTCAACGCTTGTGCTAACGCAGTTCACCGCAAGTTGGTCAGTACCAGTCCTAGGGCTAGACAATGTCAGGTGGTTTTATGAGCTCGGCGGGATCAACACTCCCCCTCAACACTTGGACTGGTCAACACACAGTTCACCGCGTCAGTACCAGTCCTAGGGCTAGACAGTTGGTTTAATGAGCACCCACCGCTCAGGCCCATGCAGCTACTTCACACACGAGCTCAAAACGGTGAAGGCATAAATTACAAGGTCAGGTTAACACCATGGTAAGAACCTATGTTCTGAGGTCAAACGTGCTTGATACTTTGTGGGTTTTATAGGAAGACCGCATAAAAGATCGAAGAGTATGTACTCCGTAACGACTGATTCACAATTTCTTTTCAACTTTTCCATTATAAACTTGTGCATAGTAACCGGCAAATTTAGGCAAAATACAAGGTTTACATGACTAAATTTCCCAACTCTGGCGAGCCACACGCGAATGCTTTTTCAACAGACAAGCATCTACAATACAAACAAGTGTGGCAGTGTATATCTCCATGTTCTAGTGGTAGATTTCCATGGGCCTATAAATCTTTTCAGCAGGCCCCTGTTGGTAGTTGGCGCAACTTTCCAGGACGCCCTCCCTCAACTGGCGGTCCCATTCCATTGGACTCTGCGCCATAAACACAAACAAACAAGTGTGGCAGTGTTTATTTCCATGTTCTAGCGGTAGATTCATTTGATTTTGCTCATCCTATCGATGGAAGTAGCATGAGGTCGGTCGTCTCTCTCTCTCTCTCTCACACACACACACACACACACACACTCTCTAACAAGTGTGGCAGTGTATACTTCCATGTTCTAGCGGTAGATTCATTCGATTTTGCTCATCCTATCAATGGAAGTAGCATAAGGTCAGTCGTGAGGTTGGAGACTTATGTGTTCTCTCTCTCTCTCTCTCTCACACACACACACACACACACACACACACACACACACACACACACACACTAACAAGTGTGGCAACGTATATTTCCATGTTCTAGCGGTATATTCATTCAATTTTGCTCATCCTATCGATGGAAGTAGCATGAGGTCAGTCGTCTCTCTCTCTCTCTCTCTCACACACACACACACACACACACACACACACACAAACAAGTGTGGCAATGTATATTTCCATGTTCTTGTGGTAGATTCATTCGATTTTGCTCATCCTATCGATGGAAGTAGCATGAGGTCAGCC